CATGAAGACCCTGTATGTGGTTGGGGGCTGATGCTGCTCGCCAGGGCTGCTGCAGGCACCGAGTGAGGATTTGGGAGGTGTCTAGTAGGATAATAGAGTCACAGGATCATGGAATGGTTTGAGTTGGAAGGGATCTTAAAGATTATCTCATTCCATCATAGACAGGGACACCTTCCACTAGCCCAGGTTGCTCCAAGTCCTGGAGCACAGGGCAGAAGGGCTGTGTGGGTGTGATGCTAACAGGGCTGTGTCTGCTCTCCCTGACAGATCTATGCTGACCCTGCCAAAAGGCTGGAGCTGTATTTCCGCCCCAAGGACCCTTACTGCCACCCTGTGTGTGCCAATCGCTTCCCCACCTCCACCATGCTGCTCAAGGTGAGGAGGAGGACCAAGAAGAAGAAGCAGTTGGACACCGAAGAGCAATCCCAGCCAGAAGTGCAGTTTGAAATGGAAATTCTTGGGATCGTCACCACTGTTTACAAATTTCAAGGTAACATTTAGGGTTTTGTCCATGTGGCTTAGGGATGAGTGTGTCTGAGGGGAAAGGGAAGTGTTTCCCTTTAAACAGCTCAGCACTGGCAGGAAAAATCAAGTGTCCTGTTGTTACAGCTTCCTTGCTGTATAAATCTTTGCATAGACCTCGGGATCCTTTTTCCTGAAAGTTGAGCGTGGTGAGAAACATTGTTAAATTTACAATGAACTTCACTATGTTTTACCTTCTATTTCTCCCAGGGATGTCTGATTTCCAGTACCTGGCAATGCACTCTGGTCCTGATGGCAAACAGACCTCCATGTATGACAAAGTCCTGATGCTCAAACCAGAGAAGGAAGATTTTTTCAACAGAGAATTACCTCTTTACATCCCACCACCAATTTTCTCACGTCTGGACACTCCTGTTGACTATTTTTATCGCCCAGATGTACAGCACAGGTCAGTGCCTTTCCTCTTAACAGAGATGTGATAGCTCTGCTGGTTCTGGGATGGACAGACAGTGAAGCCTGTTTGTCTAACAGACAAAGCTTCAACTTAGGATCTGTGCTTTAAAGTATCAGAGCAGCACTGAACACATCATTCATGTATTTTATCTGCTTAAACTTCTGCCTTGTTCTGGTTTATCCCTCTTGATTTGGCACAAGGGAGGCAAAAAATCCCTGGCAGGGGCAACCTCAGTAAAAGTGCACATGAGGATTTGCCAGGTGAGGTGCCCTGGTGCTGTGGTGAAGGTGATTCTCCCAGCACACCTCACACAGGGTGGGATGCAGTGAGGCAGTTTTCCACCTGCTTCCAGCAGGCTGGAGCTGAGGGGAGGGTTTGCAGGAGTCAGTGCCATATGTGCCTGTGCTCACTGGACCTGTGCCCTCCTGGCCCTGGTTGGTTTTGCCAGAAGAACCATCTGTGAGATCTCCCACAAGAAACATCTTTCATTTTCTCACTGTTGTCCTTCATTGGCACTTTTTAAAGGGAAAGATATTTCTAGCTTGAAGTGGTATCTGCATTTCCCTCTTGCTTTGCCCCTCCCTGTACTACTAAGTAGCTGCAGTAGCTACAGGAGAGCAAATGCAGAGGGTGAAGCCTTCAGTGCTCAAATACATTTCAAACAGATCAGTACCAAGTGGCTGAGGGTTTTCTGCCAGTGGGGAGAGAGCACCTGTGTCACTGTGCAACTGGATGGAACTTTGAAGGTTTTGGGAGGTTTTTAATTTCAGTTTTTATTCCTCAGTGTTGTCATGAGACAACATGGCATAATGATAAAAGACTCTCTCTGTCATGAGAGTCTTTTATGGTACCAGTGTGTGTTGGGCCAAAGTTAAACCAACCCATTTAGTCTTTTACCAGTGTGTGTTGGGCCAAAGTTAAACTCAGCTCCCCCAGCTGAGTCCCTTCTCTTCTCCTTTCCCTGTTCCTTAGGGAGGGATACAACAATCCCCAGGTATCTGGGGAGAACCTGATTGGCCTCAGCAGGGCCCGTCGGCCTCACAATGCCATCTTTGTGAACTTTGATGATGAAGAAATCCCAACTAAGCCCCTGGATCCAGTGTGTGTTGGGCCAAAGTTAAACTCAGCTCCCCCAGCTGAGTCCCTTCTCTTCTCCTTTCCCTGTTCCTTAGGGAGGGATACAACAATCCCCAGGTATCTGGGGAGAACCTGATTGGCCTCAGCAGGGCCCGTCGGCCTCACAATGCCATCTTTGTGAACTTTGATGATGAAGAAATCCCAACTAAGCCCCTGGATGCTGCTGTGCAGACCTGGAAGAAAGTGTGCACCAATCCTGTGGATAAAAAGGTGGAGGAGGAGCTGAGAAAGGTGTGTGCCTGACTCCTGACCTGAGCACTGTACTGCAGTGTGATGTGGAGGAAAAACTGCATTTGCTCTGATTTTAACTGGCTGATACAGATTTGAATCTCTTTGTAGCCAACTCATGTTAAATTTCTTTTTGTGCCACGTTACTGGATAGCTCATTCTGAGGGCCAAAGGCCCTGATACAGAACTAAGTCCACTTGGAAGCTGTGGGTAACCCACTTCTCACTGTTTTGTGGTTGTTTCTGTCTTGCTTTAGCTCTTTGAAGTCCGTCCTGTCTGGTCTCGAAATGCAGTCAAAGCCAATATCAGTGTCCACCCAGACAAGCTGAAACTGCTGTTGCCATATTTGGCCTATTACATGGTAAGTGATACATCTGTGAGCAGAAGAGCATCAGCTGCTGTTCCAGGTCCTTTACCACCTCTAAGGTCATACCACTAAGTTCACATGAGCTTAATATTATGTAAAGAGATAGAGATAAAGGAAACTTTGCTTTGGACAGAAGTTGAAGCCAAGGAGGATTCCTTGTTTGCTCCATTGGTTCTAACCAGCTTTCCAGTTCAGTCAGACACTGCAGTTGACTGTCCACCTGGCAGTGGTAGCAGAAACTTTCCATACAAACCCTTGACTGTGACCTTGCAGATTAGTTTGTAAAAGCACACAAATATTTGTGCTTCAGCACATTGATTGCCTGAGTTTCAGTGTATAAATACTGGCATGGCAAGTGAGGAGAGAGTTGGTAAAGGAAATAATCTTTGGGCTATGAGGGGGAATGCTAGAACTTTCTAAGAACCTCTGCAACACTGTACTGAAGAAAGTGCAACACTGCTGCTTTTTTGTAACCATCTTCCCCCTTGTGTGTTTACACAGCTAACAGGTCCTTGGAGGAGCTTATGGGTTAGGTTTGGGTATGACCCCAGGAAACACCCTGAAGCAAAGATATATCAAGTCCTGGACTTCCGTATCCGCTGTGGAATGAAATATGGTAAAAGGGCCCAACCCACAGAGCTGCTATCTCTGCTTTCTGGTTAATCCTGGTAGTACTTCTCTTTTTATGTGTTTTTCAAACTCCTTTGCCATATTTCTGCTCTGATGAAGATGTCACCTTTTTCGCTCCTTGCTTGCCATAGTTTTTCCTGAACAACTTTGCCACTTCATTTCATAGTGTGCAAATTTTTCATTTCATAGTGTGCAAATCTTTTCTCATTTGGCACATTCCAAACTCTGACCTTCCTCCTCCATGTGTCCCAAGCCCAAGTGGATGTAGCAGACCATCCTTCCCTTTGCCCAGGGAGGCACTGAGCAGGAATTCTGGTGCTTACAGAGTAGCTTTTCCTCAAGGACTTCAGTGTCTCGTGCAGGATGTTGGGCCTCAGACCTCTGATTCTTGCAGAGGACAAGTGGAGAGAAAGGAGTTTCCCACATCTAGTAAGTCCATGACAGAGTTGACATCCACTCAGTGTCATCACATCTCCTTTCCAGGTTAAAGGGTTTGTTGTCCTCTTCTCACCATGCTAAACCAGCACATCCCAAACACTAGCCTGCCTTTCCCACACCAGTCCAGCCCTTGTGTTACTCAGCTAGGGATATTCTGCAGGATGCTTGCCCTCAGCTCATGATTGGTTTTATATTTTCTCCTCTAGGTTATGCCTCTAATGACGTGCCTGTGAAAGCAAAGCGCAGCACGTACAACTATAGCCTGCCCATCACTGTCAAGAAACAAGGTATGCTGGGCTGACTCTTCTGGCTCTGTGTTTGTCCCATCCTAGCCACAGGTGGTGAAGGGTTTTCCTGTGTTTTAGCTGAGCCCAAATTGGAGCTTGCTTTCTGGTTATAACACAGTGCTGCTGTTAAGCCAGCAGAGGAGTCTCCTGCTGGGAAGTGTGAGAGTCTTCGCTACGTGTCTGGCTGAGCCACAGTATCTGTTAGCAGGCAGGAGGGAGTTCTGCACTCACTTCTGTTCAGTGATGGTGCAGAGAAGGGGGAAATTCTCTTTTCTTTGTCAAGGGAGAGTGGGAAAGGTTAACATTTTGAACAAACGGCTGTGGGAAAAGCTGCCAAGCTCAGCAGCTTTGCTGTGACTGTCCAGTCATGTCTCTGAAGAATGAACAAAACATGCTTAGTTGCTGGGTTGGTCTGGCTTTGTTGAATCAACAGAAGTGATGGTACAAGGTGAAAGATGTCTCTAATTAGGACTATCTTTGTTTTGCCTTTCAGTCAGTCATACAGTCAGTGTCCACGACCTGAAACAAGGGCTGGGTACAGCTGGTGCCTCTGGGGCAAAAAAATCCCCCTCCAGCAGCTACAAACTGAAGGTAAGCATTGCTCTTTTTACCAGAACCTTGACCTAGCTGAGAGAAAAGGGTGTGTTTCCTGGTTTATCAGTCACCAGGGGGACAGCTGTGAGCAAGTTGATGTCCTCAGGTGTGTCTGGGAAGCTGCTAGTTGTACCTGTCACTACAAGGTTTCACCTGCTGTGCACTGAGTGGGTTCCTTACATGCTGCCAAGTGGGATTGGTGCTCTCAGCACTGCTGTTAAATGTGATGAGCATTTTGCTTCAATTGATAAAAGTAGAACTTCACAGGCAGTGAAGTGCAAAAAAATCACCATGTCTTCATCAGGTCACCCTGCAAAATCCAGCAGGGTGGAATAAATAAATGAGTCTTATTTTTCCATTTTTGCTAGAATGAAACCCATGATGCACTGTTATGCAGTGACAGGCTGCAGGCAGAGCTGCAGTTTGAAGAGATGAAGTGTGTTTTTGGCACAACTGTGCCGTTGGGACTGTGGCTACAGGGAAATTTTGGGGTATTCCTCATTCAGCTGTATCTTGCCATGTGCAGACCTACACCTTGGAGCTGATTTCTGTTGGAAGGGCCTTGTTCTTGATTCAACCTATTGGAAATACTTATCAGTTATGCTAGTGCTGTCCTGTTACACCCTAACATGTACATGAATCCTTTCCTTCTCTTAGGAATCCATCTACATTTTCCGAGAAGGAGCTTTACCCCCTTATCGACAGATGTTCTACCAGCTGTGTGACTTGAATGTGGAAAGGTACTGCACTCTGGCAGTTGAGTCTTCTGTTAAACTTCAAAGCCTATATCCTGTCCATCCTCCCCTCTCTCCTTGATCAGAAACATCAGAGGTTTTTCACTTCTGAGTAGAACAGACTTTTCACCCATGAACTTCCTTCCCCTTATGACAATTACTTGGATAACCACCTACACTATTCCAGCTCAGTGAAGTAAAATGGAAGTAAACCATAGCCTGTCTCATCTGAAGCCCAATCTGAGTGCAGAAGGCTCATGTTTCCTTCCCTTTTGCTGCTTTTCAGCCTACAGAAGATCATCCATCGGAATGACGGCGCAGAGTTGGAGTGCACGGAGAGGGATGGGTGGTGCCTGCCCAAGACGAGCGATGACCTGCGAGACAGCATGTCCCTGATGATAAAGCAGATCATCAGATCCACACGGCCTGGTAAGGATGCTGTGAGCATCAGCCTGTATTGCTGCCTTCCTGAAGGCGTGGAGATGTTGTGGGCTGAGTGAGGGTGTTGCAGTCACCTGGATCTGCTTCCTCCTGGTGTTAGTGTTGTAGCTCGTTGTAGTGTGTGAGCTGAACCTGTTGTCCTGCAGTGACAATATGGGTTGGCATTAGGGATGGCTGGGAGTAAAGCTTTTCTGTTTCATCTTCCCAGTCTCCCAGCCTTCAGGCTTTAAATGCCTGCACAATGATAATCAAGATCTTATGGATGTATCTGTTGGTGGCATTTTGCTTTTTATCGATGTTATTGATTGAAAAACAAATGAGGAAATTATTTTTTGCCAAACCAATACTATCCCAGTGAATTAGGGCAGAGGAGGCACAGCACTGCAGCTCTGCTGCTGTTCTGCTCACCTTCCTGGAGTATGGAAAAAAAAAAAAAGTATTGCTTTGGGCTTCATCAGATTCTATTAAGATGTGCAACATCAGCTGTGCCCCTGTGGCTTCAGCCTTCCTCTCATACTGTGTGAGCTCTACTGCCAATGCCCCCAGGCTGCTCTGAGAGAGGCATCACAATGTCTTTCTTTCTCCCCTGTTAAGCTCTTTTCTCAAATACAACAAGCACTGAAGATGGCAAAGAGCAGCTGGCATACGAGTCTGGAGAGGATGAGGATGATGAAGAGGAGGAGGAAGAAGACTTCAAGCCTTCTGATGGGAGTGAAAATGAAATGGAGACAGAAATTCTGGACTATGTGTGAACTCAAGTGAGCAGTCTGGCTGCTGTGGGACAGAACTGTCTCTGCTCTTGTTCCTTGAGAGCTGAGGGTTCAGCATCCATGCCCAGGATGTGGGAAAGCAGCGCTTGTACTCAGCTGGTGGTGATCTCTCTGCACTGACTGCAGTGTGAGCTGGTGTCCATCATTCTGGGTGTTTGGGAGCCATTGCCTACATTTTCATAATTGCTGACTAAGAAACTCTCTAGCAAGCTCAAAAGACTCCAAGAGTTGAGTCCAGAATCCAAACCAGCTGGTAATACACCAGAATGGAGGAGAAGCTGCACTCCCAAATCTCTCTGTGGGTGGGAAGTGCACTCTGTCCAGGTTGGTGGTCATGTGGAAAAGAGAGAAGGTGCCTGAGGAGGTGCTGGGAGAGCATTTCCAGTGCTCCTGGAGTCCCTAAGGCATGTTCTGCCAATCTGGTTGTCCAAAGGGAATGAAAACACTGTGCCCTGCCTTCAGCATTGAGCCTTGCTGGCCCTCTTGGAAATAAAGGCAGCAGGAAAACACACTGTCTGGCAGTGAGTAATTCCCTTCCTGGGATGTTTGTTGTCCTCACCAGCTGATGCATTTGACTTCCCCAGCAAGGACTGAAGGCAACAACTCACAGAGTCAAATGAATAAGGTTAATTTGAAAATCAGGCCCTGATCCCTCAAACAAAAACCTGTATTTTAGGTAAAACACAAACCAGTAGAGTCAAGGTAAGGTATGAACTGCCTGCCCCACAGTCAGGGTCACCCCTTTCTCTCCACCAAGGTGCTGGCATTTTGGGGAAGGAAGCCAGGACAACCCCTGCCTTGGGGGCAGAGACAGTTGAGCATCAGTATTTTATTGCAAAGACTAATTACATTGCTGTGTACAAGTCACACCAGGCAGTGTGCTCCTTCATTGAAGTGGTACAAAATACATATGGTACAGCCAAGTCCCTCCGGTGACACTGGGGCTGCTGGGGACACCGGGGGAGGGGAAGGGCCCAGGGTGGGCAGGAGTTGGCAGGCACGGAGCAGAGGGAAGAGCCAGGAATGCTGGTGCCCAGGGGAGGGGACTTTGGGCAGGATGGGGGGCAGGAGGCTGCGTCAGGGAGCTGAGAACTCCCATCATGTGCAGCAATGGGTGATGCCACCCGAGGGGACATGGGGCTGGGGGAGCTCAGTGCTGGCCACGCTCACAGCCAAGCAGCCTCTTCCCCACCTGGTGCAGCCCCAGCTCCTGCCACCAGCCCCTGGAGCTGCACTGCTGCACCCCCAGGTCCCTCTCCTGGAGCTGGGGAAGGCACCACACCCACCTGGCAGCTCCGACGGATGGGAAACGGAAAGGATCTGCTGGAATGAAGCACTTAAAAAACAGAAATGGAGCCAGGAGCAACAAAAGGTTCCCCCTTTGGTTAGTGTTTCCTACAATGATTAAAACAAGCATCTGTGCCCCTGCTGGAGCGACTAGTGGTAGAGAATTGGGGAGGGTGTGGCTGGCAGAGTCTGCACCCCCTGAACACAACAGAGCAACACTGCTGCTGCCAACATCCCTCCCAGCAGCCTTAAATAGCAGGGTGGGGACAGGAGAGGGACTGGGCTGCAGGGCAGGGGGAGGCTGGATTAGTAAAATGTACAAGTTTGCCTTTTCTATTTACAACCAATAAATATCGAAAAAAAAAATCAGTAAACTTTTTTGTTTTATACAAAAAAAAGTCTCATTGCTGCTTCTCCCCATGGTCAGTGTTTGAAAAAGTCTGGTTAAAGCCCAAGGTGAGTGGCACTTTCTGGGGGTCAGGCAGTGGCAGCTGGAGCACCTGGAGCACCCAGAGCTTTCCAGCTCCTCTCCTGCCCACACAGACCCAAGGTCTCTATTTACACGAGTTCAGACAGAAATTTGCTCTCCTCCTCCTCCACCTCCTCCTCCTCCTCCTCATTAGGCTGGCAGCACTGGGGGCACAGCCCTAAGCTTCCCCCGATGGCAGAAGAGACACTGGCATTTGATCTTTGGTGCAAGTTCCATCCACATCCAGCTGGAGGACGCGCTGGATCGGGAGAGGAGCGGGACCACGCAGGTTTCCAGCTGTCGAGAGCACAGGCACCCACTCCCTCACAGCAGGGACAGCCCCTCCACGGGGCTCTGAGAGCTGCACCATTCCAGCTTATCTCCTAGCTGGGGCATCCGTGGCTTCTCCCAAGGACAGGCAGAGATGTGCAGCGGTGGTGACGCCGATTATCCCAGGGAGGAAAGACATGGAGGTAACCGCCAGGAAAGCTGGGAAGGAGAGCACAGCCGTGGGAGGCCGTGCAGCCCCAGGGTGGTCGGTGGCTCTGTGCAGCCCCAGGGTGGTTGGTGGCTCATGCTCTGCTCCTGTCACACGGCCCCTCTGCGAGTCGCCGCTCCCCGGCTCGCTCGGACACAAGGCACCTACGGCAGAGGTGAGCTCCAGCTCGGGGCTGGCCGGGGGCTGGACTGGTGTCGCACCGTGGAAGGTTAAAAAAAGAAAAATGAAACAAAAAAACTAGAGATATCCCCCCCCCATGCTGCCTTCCTGTGTAGACAAAAAAGACCTGATTGGAACGGGGGCTTGTGCAGAGAGAGGCAGAGGCCGACACCAGTTGGCTCTCAGCGCGGGAGGGAGGGAGAGGTCTCTCCTCTCAAGGAGTGGCCGCAGCCAAGCCCGGGGCAGCCTCGCCCCCAAGGCCCCGTCGGTGATGGGTGGCAGTGGGGCTGAGGCTAGAAGATGCCTTTGGCAATCTTCAGGCCTTTCTGCTTCATCCTGGGCAAGGTGGAGCTGGAGCCGTGCTTGATCTTCACCCCCTTGGAGAAGCCGCGTTTCTTGAGCACAAAGTCATAGTTGGCGGCGGAGTTCATGGCGTAGAAGACGTTGGCGTTGTCGGGGATCTTCAGCTCTGGAAGTGACCAAAGATGAGGGTCAGCTGGGAAACCTTTCCCCCAAAGGGGCTCAGAGTGGGGCTGAGAGTTGTCTCCAGGTGCTGGGACCCCTCTTGCTGTCACCTCCCAGCACAGCCCCAGGACAGCCCCCCACACCCAGCACACACCTCTCTCCTCTGAGATGATCTGGACGAGCTCATAGTCTTCAGGTCGATCCCCATCCAAGTTGTGTTTGGCCATGGCCTTGCGAATAACCACGGGGGTCTTGTCCTGGCTCGTCACCTGTGACCACAGAGCACTGTTAGCTCAGGGGGTGCAGAACTCTGCTCTCTCTAGCTTTACACTAGTTTCTCCTCCCGAAACTCCTACATCCAACCACCGTGAGTCCCCCGTCCCTGGTGTCCCCGTGGTGGTCCCATACTAACCAGGATGCTCTTGTACATGTTGCCGTTGTCCACGGCCAGGCTGACACGGATGATGCAACAGTCGTCGACCTGCTGGTTGTAGAGGGGCAGCGAGAGTGAGGAGTAGCTGGAGATGCCGGAGACCGAGCGCTTGTGTGTGCGGGAAGCCGTCACCGGCGTGGAGGGGACGGAAGAGGAGGAGGCACTGCTGGAGCCTGAACCGATGCCTGACGTGTCCAGGGAGGAGAGGGAGGTGGATTCCCAGAACTGGAGGGCAGGGAGGAGAGGGGATGCGGAGGACACAGTGGGTTTAGCTTCTCCGTCGGCCACAGACGGGGCGTACCAGCGCTGGGGGAGGGAGGCCAGAG